GCGTTTTCAAAGTCCTAGACACTTGCACCAGGATCAAGGGGTCTGTGCAAGTCTTGGCCCAGAGGTCTCCTCAGCTATTACCCAGTCAAAGGAAAACCTGTGGCTTTTTCCTTCCTTCTTCCTTTCCTTTCCTCCCTCCCCTTCCTTCCTCCCTTCCTCCTTTCCTTCCTTCCCTCCTTCCTTCCTTCCTTTTCCTTCCTTTTCCTTCCTTGTCCTTCCTTTTCCTTCCTTCCTCCCTCCCTCCCTTCCTTCCTCCCTCCCTTCCTTCCTCCCTTCCTTCCTTCCTTTCCCTCTGCCTTCCTCCATACTCCCTTTCCTTGGTTCATTATATAACAAGTCCATTAATATAACAAGTAACTAGGCAGTCGGGCTCATATTCTCATTTGCTGGAGAGACGTGTCATATCAAAGCTCTGTGGTCTCAGGTTCCTCGTATCACATTTTGGCAGATGTGCTATGCGTTGATCAGAGTGCAGGGGCTCTCAGTAACCCCATGGGGGTCAGGGAGGACGCAGCCACGGCCCATGCTGGGCATTCTGGCACATTGTGCCCCTAATCCACAAATAAATGATCAAAGCATCTAAAAAATGAAAGAATCCTCATCCTACAAGGATATAAAGTATCCCCATCTAAGGTATTTGTTAGGGGAGCCGTGAAAAGAGCCTGCCTGGGTCTTGGAGACAGAGAGTCGTCTGGTTGAGGATTCAGTTTCTGCCACCCAACAGCCTCGTTCAAGGAAAGGAGTTAACCTTGCCAAGCCTCAGATTCCTTATCTGTGAAATGGCAATCCTAACACTATCCCCACAAGCTGTTGTAAGAATAAAGTGCCATGCACGGTGCCAAACAGTGGGTACTCACTAAATGTTAGTCCTCCGCCCACTAGTCCTTTCGTTAGCCCCATAAACAAGTCATTCCCAACTGAGTGACACTGTTTGTTTGTTTGTTTGTTTGTTTGTTTGTTTGTTTTTAAGTAGGCTTCACGCTCAGCCTGGGGCCCAGCACAGGCCTTGAACTCAAGGACCCTGAGATCAAGACCTGACCTGAGATCAAGAGTCAGATGCCTAACCGACTGAGCCACCTGGGCAACCCTGAGTGACACTATGTGAAAAGTTAGTTCATACCTTAGGAAATAAAATTCTTTTTTTCTCCTTAAAAAAATTTTTTTTAATGTTTACTTATTTAGAGAGAGAGAGAGAGAGAGTCAAAGTACAAATGGGGGAAGGGCAGAGAGAGAGGGAGACACAGAATCCAAAGCAGGCTCCAGGCTCTGAGCTGTCAGCACAGAGTCCGACGCGGGGCTTGAACTCACAAACTGTGAGATCGTGACCTGAGCCGAAGTCAGACGCTTCACCGACTGAGCCACCCAGGTGCCCCAGGAAATCAAACTCTTTATACTGGAATGCTTATAGCTACACATTAGCTTATGTATGGACAAACGATGCCAGCTCTGGGAAAGAAGAGATTGGCATTAGCAGTGTGCTTCAGAGGTTTTATGAAGTCACAGAATCTAATTCTTACATGGATGATGTCTTCCCTCATTGCCCCAGGCAGAGTGGTTCCCGTCTGGTTATACATCAACCTTCCATCACACTTATTCCAATCTGATATAGTTGTTTATGGGGTTGTTTTACGTTTCCACACTCTCCAAGAGCAAGGAGAACGCCTAGCACAGCGCCTGGCACACAGAGGGTGAATGAATGAACAGAAAAGTTTCCACTCACCCTCATTCCAGCCATATATCATTTCTGTTAGTCACCCAGGGACCAGGATTACAACCTGCACTATACAGAGGAGGAAACTGAAGTTTTAAGAGGTTGTACCACTGTCAAGGCCATTCGGTAAGTAGTGATGGGGCAGGCACTTCAGCCCAGACCCCCCGACACCAAATCTCGAGCTCCTTTGCCCCACACTTCTCTGCCCTTTGACTCAGCAGCCTCGCCCTCTCATCAATTCAGATGGCGACATTATACAGGAGCTCCTCACCCTGGAGCCTTCTGCCTGGGCATGTTGTTTGGTGGCCAGCTGCCACCTTTTGTGTGCCACAGGTCCGTTTTCCACCTTAACCCATTGAGTAATGGATTATTTATTGGCGGATGACAGCCCCATCTGATGATGGCAAAGCGAGCCCGTGCATGTCCAGTTACGCAGGCTTCAGGGAGCCTCCGACAGGGAAGGCTCCTAGAGTTGGGAACGTAAGCTGGTTAGGTTTGTGCTGTTTGTTGGGGAGCGAGGGGGTGCTTGATGTTCAGCTTTAATACTTTAGAAATTTGGTCACTCCATCCATTCCTGCTTGCTTTTCCCCCTTTCTGATCCCCTAAACTTAAAAAAAAAAAATCACTCAAAGCAGGGCAATTGGGTCTTAGTTGATATTCTCAATTCTCTTTGGATTGCTATCCATTCTTTACTAATTAACCACATCTCTGTTCTAGACACGCAGTGGACATCCCAGCCCTCTCCTTTCTCTCCACCAAACCCACTTCACAATCTTGCCTTACTCTTCTATTAAATCCCCCCTCTTTTCTAAACCCGTCCACCTCGATCTCGGAGGATCCTTGGAGAAGACTTAGAGATGCATGTTCAAGGAGAAATTGAACTTAATGTTTAGCCAGACATAATGGGAAAACACCTGAACTGAGAGTAACGAAATGTGTGTGCATGGCCCAGGGTACCTTTAAGTCGTTGTGAGACGTGGGGTGAATGATTTCATCTGCACAGGTTCAGTGTGTGCATCTCTGAACCTGCAACAGCTCTTCCCTATCTCTTGTGTCCTTCAAGTACATTTAATCTTCTAAAGCCCTTGATGACAAATCGGAGGCAGGAATGTCTTAAGAACTGTAAGTGAACTGTTCACTCGCTGCTCTGGAGCTTAGTCAAGGCTCTTTATCAAGATTTGGAGGCAGAAAAGGTCATCCTTAAGCCTGCTGTGGTCTGGAAGTGCCGGTAACAAGATTGTCTTTGTAGCTACTTCCTTAAAAAGACTTCAGGGCTCTTGATTAATGCAAACAGTAGCTGGGCTGCTGGGGACAGAACAGTAGCACCCCTTCTAATGTGGGTGGCATGTGCTTGCTGGTGACTGTCGGCACAGACGCTCCTCTTTCCCTCCAAAACCTGCATGGACAAGTGGTTTCACTGGTCACTGAGGCCAGCCTGAGAGTCCGCATAGGCTTGAGAGTCAGCACAGACCGGAGAGATGGGAGGCTGGTCAGGCTGCTGTGGCCAAGAGAAGAGGGCAGGATGGGCCAAGTCACAAAAGCAGGGGTCGTGTACCAGGGCCGGTGGGTGCCCTTCAGCAGACCATGTGGTCTGTACAGCGTCTATAGGCAGCTGGAGCCAAGAGAACAGGCAAGGTCGCAGAGCAGGAAGGAAATTGAGCCCAGCACGGGGAGCAGTGCAGACATGGAGACGGCCCGGGGAAGCCAAAAGAACAAACGACAAGGATGTGGGAACGGCAAGTGGCAGTAACAGCAGGAGGAAGATGTACCGAGGCAGCAGGTTAGTAAGACTTTTGACTTAACAAATGAACATGGACTAAATACAAAGGGGAATCAGAACCATGTGTACGTGACTAGATGTATGTATACACATACTTAAAAGAATACAGGGGTGCCTGCGTGGCTCCGTCAGTGAAGCACGGGACTCTTGATTTCAGTTCAGGTCATGATCTCCAGTCATGAGACTGAGCCCCATGTTCAGCTAGCGCTGGGCATGAAGCCTGCTGAAGCTTCTCTCTCTCTCCTCCCTCTGCCCCTCTCCTGCTTGAGCTTTCCCCCCCCTCTCTCTCTCAAAAAAAAAAAAA